TGTAATCAAAACATGTTTTAATTAGAAATTAAAAAATGAGCGTAACGACTATACATTATGGGGAATGTTATAAAAATTAATGACGAACGTTACCGTATTTAGTGCGGATTTTGTAACGGCTCTGAGACTCCGACCCTATATATAAAGCCCTCTCATTCTTGTTTCTACACAGAGCAAAAGCCTATTCTTATCTGCTCTCAACTAAGTCTTTCTCTCTCTCTCTCTCTCTCTCTCTCTCTCTCTCTCAAGTTTCAGTTACAGTTTTATAGTTTTATTGTTTACTTTTGGGCAATTCTCTTCATCTAAGCAGAAGCTATGTTCTCTCGCCCGAGTACAGAGGCCGACCGCTTCCAGGGTTTTTACCGCTAGGGGAGGGGGATCATCTGTGTCAGGGCGATAGGTGGGTCCTCAATGTTCTAGGGCAATGTTTACACGACTGCTCCCGTCAGGCTTGATATTTTCTAACTTAAACTATTATATTATTTATTTCAGAGTATTTGTTTACTTTATTCGGATTTATCTGCATTCTATAACCCTTAAATGTTGGTATATTCCCAACAATAAGCTCATTAACTTCTGTTGCTTTCATGCATACATATGTTTCTCTTATCCACAACTAGTCTAATGATCGACAAACTTCAAGAAATGTAAATATTGTTGTATTTTGAAATATGTGTGTATTTGAGTTCATGATTTTGTATTGCCTTCAGGATCATAATGTGTCCTCATATGTTTTGGGTATTGGAAGAAATCTGTGTGTTCAGTAGAGGAGACCAAAGATAGGGCTTTTCTCTTGCCTAATTTTTGTCACTCACAACTTTAAAGCAGACAGGTCATGTTTGCTTTGTTCGAGTGTTTGTTTTAAAACAAAATGAGATGATGACTAATTATCAATAATAATTGTGTATTATGCTTACCTATATACATAATTGAATGGAGGAGATGACTCAAAATAGAACTGAATATAGAAAAAATAGGATTCATGTAGCTTACCCAGAATTTTGGGCTAAAGACTCTGTTGTTGTTGTTGTTGTTGTTGTTGTTGTAAAATCAATTTATAATTGGGATCATGTATTTAGAACGTTGAACATCAAGGTCCTTCTCATGCAAAAGTCGAATGCTTCTTACACTTTCTTGATTGAAAGTATTATGTTACTTGAGATGGGGAACATATAGTAGGATTAATGTTATTGAGTTGTTGTGCTTTTGAGACCTATTGGATATATATAAGTTAGATAGTACGAAAGCTTGAATTTTTAATTTTACTAGTTAGATTACACGTGCAATGCACATGGTTGAATATCATGGTTATTTAAATTGATAAAAATTAAAAATAAAAGAGAAAATAATGTTTTTTGCGGGATTGATTATCAACATAATAATCTCTCTTTCAAATGAAATATTGTCATTGTTTTCTTCAATGCAGACTATCGCTACGTGATCTACTATTTGTGAGTTATAAACACATTGATCTAGTACAATATTTTTGTTTATTAGTATCTTGAAGTCTTTAAAAGATGGTTGATCATTCAATCCGCAAAGGAATTTTGCATATGAATTTACTTATAATATGTTCATTAAACTTTTAGTTATGGTTTGACTCATATTCACATTAATTTTTAGTTGTGGTTTCACTCATATTTATATAGTCAATCGATTAAACATATTAAAATTATAATGATCACAGTTAAAATTATATGTTAGGTTTATATTAAATATAATTTATAAAAAAATAGTACATTTAAAGTTAAAAATCTTTTAGCCACTATATAGATTGTTTGAAAGTTTTTGCGTGTATAAATTATAATGCCTAGAAATAGTGATGTGCACACTTAACTATAGCCTAATACATCTTAAGAACGACTTACTCTTTAATATCATCATTAATTGATATATCTATGCATTACACTAAAAACACAATGAAAATTTAGAAAACTACAAAAGAAATACCCTCAAAAGTTTTTAAAATTGTAAAAACAAACACCCTAAAATTTTATAATTAACAAATACACAATTTTTAAAATTGTAAAAACAAACACCCTAAAATTTTATAATTAACAAATACACAAAACTATTAAAAATTATATTAAAATCAAGGAACTACAAAAAATCATTGAAAAATTTTAAACTTTGGAGGGATAATTTGCAATGTACTAAACTTTAATTTTTTTTTGTAAATTTCAAATCTAATAGATTTTTAATTAGTTATGTTCTTTTAAAAAAAGTTATGGGTAATATTGACCATGAATTTTTTCCTAAACCTATACTGTTAAAGGGAGTATGATATTTTTTTATAATTTTTTTTATTTTCTAGGGGTTGCTAGTGATTTTGTATATTCATTTTAGTGTCTATAGGTTAGAAATTCTCATGGTGTTTTTTTTATAAATTATGAATATTAGGGTTTTTTTATAATTTTTTAAACTTATAGGCCTTTTCTATAGATTATAAATTATTTATAGACTATTTATAATTTCTATATTTTTAATTTACTAATGAGTTTGAAATTCTCAAAGTGCTTTTTGTAAAATTTGAATTTTGAGTGTTTGTTTGTAATTTTTGAAACTTTAAGGGTGTTTTCTATATATTATAAATTATGCAGGGAATATTTGTAACTCCTATATTTCTAATATAATATATTGTTAGGTTGGAAATTATCAGGATTTTTATAAATTTTACAATCTTGAGGGTTTTATCTTGCAATTTGTAACAAGTTAAGAGTTTTATTGCAAATTCCATAAAATTTTAGGGGTTGTTTGTGTTATTTTTAGATTTTTATTGTATTTATATGTTTGAAATTTTCAATGTGTTTTTTTACAAATTTTGAATTTTAGGAGTTTTTTTACATTTTTTAAAACTTACAATATACTTTCTCCAATGTCAAAAACTTTTATTTTTTAGCTAGCATATATTTTTCAGATTTCTCACTGAATTGAAATAAGTAAATTTTATAATTTTAAAGATGTTTTAATAAATTTTTAAATTTATAGGGGTGATCTAGCAATTTAAAAACTTAGAGGGTATTTTTTACAAGGTCTAGGAATTGAAATTGTATTATCCTGTAGCTAAATAAATAAATATAATTTAAAAGTAATAATTTAAATTATTAAGCGTCTAATGTTCGTTCATGCGAGAAAGTAAAGTAATCTATGGTCTGTATACTTATATAGTCAATCGATTAAACATATTAAAATTATAATGACCACAGTTAAAATTATATGGTGGGTTCACATTAAATATAATTTATAAAAAATAATACATTAAAATTTATAAAAAATAATACATTAAAATTTATAAAAAATAGTACATTAAAGTCAAAAACCTTTTAACCAACATATTGATTGTTTAAAAGTTTTTGCATGTATAAACTATAGTGCCTAGGAATAGTGATGTGCATACTTACCTATAGCCTAATACATCTTAAGAACGATTTACTCTTTAATATCAGCATTAATTGATGTATCTATGCATTACACTAAAAACACAATAAAAATTTAGAAAACTACAAAAGAAATACCCTCAAAAGTTTTTAAAATTGTAAACAAACACCCTAAACTTTTATAATTAACAAATACACAAAACTATTAAAAATTACATTAAAATCCAAGAAACTACAAAAAATCATTGAAAAAATTCAAACTTTGGAGGGGTAATTTGCAATGTACTAAACTTAAAGATTGTTTTTTTTATAAATTTCAAATCTAATAGATTTTTATTAGTTATGTTCTTTTTAAAAAAGTCATGGATAATATTTACCATGAAAAGTTTTTTCTAAACCTATACTTTTAAAGAAAGTATGATATTTTTTTGTAATTTTTTATTTATTTTTAGGGTTGCTAGTAAATTTGTATATTCATTTTAGTGTCTATAGGTTATAAATTCTCATGGTGTTTTTTTATAAATTATGAATATTAGGGCTTTTTTGTTATTTTTTAAACTTATAGGTCTTTTCTATATATTGTAAATTGTTTATAGACTATTTATAATTCCTATAGTTTCAATTTACTAATGAGTTTGAAATTCTCAGAGTGTTTTTTTTTATAAAATTTGAATTTTGAGTATTTTTTTGTAATTTTGAAACTTTAAGGGTATTTTCTATAAATTATAAATTATGCTAGGGATATTTGTAACTCCTATATTTTTAATATACTGTTAGGTTAGAAATTATCAAAATTTTTTATAAATTTTACAGTCTTGAGGGTTTTATCTTGCAATTTGTAAAAAGTTTAGAGTTTTATAAATTTTTAGAATTTTATCTTGAGGGTATTTTTTACAAGGTCAAAAAACTTTTAGGTGCTGGCTAGCATATATTTTTTCGATTTCTCTACAAATTAAAATAAGTAAAAGATTTGAATTATATCAAACATATCACCTTTATCCAATAACATGTTAAGTCTCATTATGGATATGATAAATAATTTAATTATAAATTCAAAGAAGATAAGAAAATTAGAATAGATTAGGATAACAATATAATATTTTAAAAAAAATTAAGAGTAATATTGACCATGAAAAGATTTTCCTCAACTCGTACTTTTAAAGGGAGTATATAATATAATATAATATAATTTTAGTTTTTTATTTTTTGACGGAGAATCTATTTTACGACTAATTACGATTTGGATGACCAATATCAGAAAACGTAATTGAAAAAGTCCTATCCAAATCATGCATACTTTATAGATTATAAACAATACCAATTCATCCAATTAAGTACTGCAATGAAAATAATGCGTTTAGTTTTGTTCAAAGAAGAACATAGATGCCTCCGTGAAATGATTAGATGGATTGTGCCAATGGATCCTTCAATTCATAAATTATTTTGAAATGCGCCCCTTTAATAAGGAGTAAAAGTAATAATTGGAGTCATTAACTTGAAATGACTAGTTGGATTGCACTTGCAATGCACGTGGTAAAATTTTTAATATTTTTTTAAATTATAATTTTATTTAGGCAGAGATTTAGTATAAATTTATTGAATGTAAACAATATAGCCAAGATATGAACAAAATTTAAAAATTCACAACGTTTGTACAATAAAATTAAATTTAGGGATAGTTTAGACAAATACACCACAAATAGTAGAGATTCGTGTACCAAACATTTGAAGACTTAAATAATATACTAAACTCAATCTCTGTCCACTCTCATTTGGTTTCTCTGAGGAAAATCTAGGATTCGATTCATACATTCTTCACACTGATGAATTATCACTGGTTGATGCAGATTGGTCATCTATAACTTGTCTTCGTCTCACATTAGGTGTAGTTTCATGGTCATATGACTGACATTGGCTCCCAGCAGTAGGCTTTCATATGCATTTCCTACCTCTGTTGAAGCTTCTCCCTTGTGAGCTAGGCTTTTTGTTACTACTCGCATGATGTTGGTTCCTTCTAAGTTAATTGTATATTAGTGGCAGGATGTTCTGGAGGTCTGGTTCGGGGATGAACCCTATTCGATACAAGCTTTCTTTCATCTTTCTATAGGTGATAGATATCATGCAGGTTGAAATAAATTTGTTAACTGTCATAAATGCTAGGGATGATATGACATCCTTCTCTATCTAATTAAAGTAGATTTAGCATGCACCTCTTCGTAGGATCTGCAGGTACACAATGCTTTGCCAATTTAGCTCCCTTCCCATTCAAGACAATAACTGACCTGTATCAACAAAGTATCTTCATAGTATTAGAATGTATAGGAAGTATAAATTGTAAGAAGGAATTATATATCAAAATACCTCATTACCGGAGGGAATGTAAAATGGTCACAAAATGTTCAAACACATTATTTGCCTGTCACAACTCGCAAACAACCTCAATCAGACATCTAATAACCGACAGCAAAAGTTCCCTTTTCCGATGATGATGACGTCAGCCCTATGCCTCCACTTCTCAGCACCAGCAAAATTCCTTGTGTAACTCAGGCAGGATCTCAAGCTAAGAGATGGCAGAAAAGGTTCATAATTGCACTTATTTATTGAAACAAGAACTTGATACATTCACCTCATTCTACATGGTTAGGTAAACTGCAGTATTGCCTGCAGTTCTTATAGGCACCACTTCATTTGTAAACAAATAAAAAACACTTTACAAACATGAATAGCGTTGCTGATAGAACTCAAACATGACATTGGAAGAGGAGGGAGCTGAGCGTTTCACAATAGCAGTCTCCATCTCCCAGAGGGTGGAGACAGAGAATGGTCCAAATCTTGCTTGCTCTTTGTCCGTCTCAATTTAGCTTTGAATCTTGACTTTGCCATGAGTGTCTGCACCGTGTTTGCAAAGTTGCCTACTGCCATAATTACCAGCAAGATGCCACAAAATATGACCTGCATTATCAAAGTAGAAGTCAAGAGACATCCATGCCAAGACGGTAGACATTACATATTCTATAAGAAGAAACAAAAGAAAATAGGACAAGGTTTTCTTGCCTGCCACTCGGAAGCAACGCCAACAAAAGCAGTTTTAAGAAGCAGTATCCCAACGTACGCCTCAAAACCCTAAACTCGAAAAAAAATGTTTAAGATACTATGAGTAATTTCGATTACTAATGCATACAATGAAAGATACACTTGAAATGAAAATGTGGTAGCTGGCACGGTGTGACTCCACAATTCATTTGAAATTTATCTTTCCTAGACGGATGCTTTTGAATCTAAATTACACTAAACAGCAACAACAAAAGAATCTTTAGCCAACAACGAGGTTGTAATTATGCAGCTTAACCTTATACATGTAAAGTAAAAAAAGATGGGGGCACAGAAGCCATAGTTGGCCTTCTACACCGGCAGTTTCTCCCCACACAACATCCATTCTCCTTGCCTGCAAAGAGAGAGAAAAATGAAGAGAGACGGCACTTAGACTTGATCATATGGAGGAATATAAAATTAAAAAAAAAACAGGGTTAATTGCAGATACACCTCCTGTACTACAGAGATATAGACATTTATATGCCCATAAGACTAATTTATTAGCACTTGCATCCTCTGAACCTCAAGCCATGTTATTCTCTCATTAGGTTGTTAGGTTGAGATGTCATCTGGGAATCATGTGAATAACTTTTCCCCTTGATATTTAGAGGACAATTTATTTTTTAGAGTTAAACTAATATAGTTTTAAACAAAGGAACATGATTCAACAGAGTAAAAAGACACAAAAATCTATTTGATGGACAAGACATCAAAGCATATGAGAAAAAAATCCGTAAAAACAATAGGAAAAAAGAAATTCCAAGGTTTATAAACAAGGGCCTTACAAGCAGTAAAAACAAGGACAAAGATTCAGAAGATTTGGAAGGCGACAAAATTAATGTAACCCGCACAAATTTTGCATGCAAAACACCAGTTGAGAAGTGCTTGCTTGCTTCTACACTAAGTCTGAATTTTCTGTCTTTTCTCTTATCGGATACTAAAGGCTTCTGCCAAGTCATATTAGAAAGAAGTCAACATGTACCATCAAACTCAATAATCTCTTGTATGTATGCTTGTATGAGTTTGAGCAGGTTAGTACCTATTAAATGTTACTTTATACTTGCAGGTTATTGCCTCAAAAAATTTATATACATCCGCTAAATTTATCCATTAAACAAGCACAATAGTTGAAGATTAATAATTTATCAATCCGCATAGACAGATGAATAGGAAACCAAAGAGTAAAGCAGTCATGGCAGCATTTGCTTTACCAAAGGGTGCAAAAATTCACTATGATAAAAATTCAAGTCAAAAATATATGATGTTACCTTGCCTAAAGCAATGCGAGTATACAACCGCTGGCGCTAGTATCTATTTTGTAGAAGCATTGCAAAACATTGCATGACCGCCCATACAAGAAACAATTCAACCCCTTTCTGCGCAAAATTCGTGTTAGATTGGATATAATAATTATCAAATTAATATATAAATAAGAAATTAACTACATGCTTGTTGGCACAATCAGGTTGCCCTTTTATCTCCCATGTGAGATTCACAAGAGCCATCAACATAGCACAATAATGACGGAATATCCACCTGCAAGAGCACAAGTAAAAATTGTTTTATGAAAAGCAATGATGTCCTAGATAATAAACAATTATATAAATAGTAATTTGTTCTATCTAAATGTTGAAATGAGATTCTCGTATTCATAATTAAGGCGTCATTGTAACTCACCAATAAAAGTTAAAGCATTATAATAGTTGAGCTTGGTAGCACAAAATCTGAACTCAGCTGACAAGCTGGTTTACATGGATAGGGTTTGAAGATTCATAATTATATAAGATCATGTGGATAGGGTTTGAAGATCTTTAATTATATCAGATCATGTGGATGCCCCCTCATTGCCATTCCAGGTTTCATGCTGCGCTAAGTGAACTGAACCCACTGAAATCCTACGCTGGATGTACCAATTCAATATACCCTTGAACAGATGCATTTTAATATCAAGTTAACCATATTGTTAACTTGAATTCTGCATCAATATAATAAGCAAAATTAAATCACTATGAACACAATAAAGGTGGTAGTTGTATTGCTTGTAGGTACTGATAGAGAAACAATCTTCCCTACAAAAAGCACTAAATAGGTACATTAAGTTTACCTCAATCAGAGATAGAAAATATTAACCTGAGTAACATTTGGTGACAGATTTTATATCTATTTAGCCTAAACTAAAATCAGCAATGACCCTGACATGCTCCCTTAACTGTAAGTTTATCCAATGTCAAAAAGATGGAAGGATGATTATTAACAATGGCGAATATAACTTCCATTTACTCTGAGTATGTTCTCTCGCAAAGCTAAACTTGTATAGAGAAATAATAGCTATGCCTGGGAAGAAAACAACAAATGTTTAATCCAAAACAACATCTTCAACCACAAATTCCAAACAAAAACATATGATGATGATATGCAATTGAAAGGTACTATCTACCTGGTAGAGCTGAACTACCAATGCTGGGAAGCATCCATTCCAAATCCAAGACCTTAATAGTAGCATAGTGGAGGGAAAGAAAAGAAACAGAAAGGTCGTTCGATCCTGCAAAAAGAAAGTTACGCTATTGTCAAATGTGATTTTGACCTACCAAGAGATAATGACAGCATATTATTGCATGGCTTTGATGGAAAGTTTTCTTTTCTTTCATATGCATCTAAAATCACAATGCACTACGTTGCAAAGTACATCATCTTCATCACATTTACTCACAAAATTATGTCAACCTCTAAGCAAGAAGATGGTTGCTTTCCAGTTACATCTAGATTGTTTATAGATAGTCATGAAATTCATATATCAGCATGCTTGTCTGACGGCACTGTCAGGTTACAAGGTGGAATTTCTAAACTTAAATCTACCTTTCATTATGTAAATGTAATATATTTAACTTAATAGGAACATATTATGAGAATTTTCACCAACGCAAGCCTACTACCAGAATTGAATCATAGGGAATAAAGAAAAGAAATCTCCTACTAATGGCCGAGTCAGCATCCCTAATGACTAACTAACCTTGGCAATTTTATGTGATGTGCTCAAACGCAGAACATGCCACTGATACTTTTTCGTAATTTACTTCTTAGAAGGATGAGAATCAATAAGATGCAAGGAAGAATTATTTGTTAATGTCACTAAACACTAATAACTTAGGATTAGATGGTGATGGAACAGCTCAGAATATGTTTGATTAGGTTGCCTATAAGCTTTGGATGATTCTCTTCAATCTAACTTTTCAATAGAACAAAGACACTATCATGTGGTTTGGTCAAGTTCAGATTTATTGGTAGATTTTCACTGGAGATATTAAAAGTAAAGTTTTTATAGAGCTGCAACCTTCAGATCCCTCATTTAATTAAGTATTCTTAACAATACATCATCATGATTACATGATCACCATAAAATGTTAGTTTTCTAAGGTTGATCTTCCACACTTTGTGCATTTTCTAGTTAAACAAAGACCATGAAAAATGAATGAAGTGAAAGTACAGGTGAAGAAAGTACAACAAGAGTGTCCCGAAAACCTTGGAAACGGACCTACCAACATGATGGTGGTGCGATTTCAAGAAGGATTAAAACAAAAACTGCTTTTATAAGTTGACAGATACATAAGAGTTTCTTGAACATGAGTACTAACACAGAAACTGCCTAAAAACAATCATTTGGTATTCATGAGCCGCAAATTTGCACCATAGATGAGAAGGAAACCTTGTCATGGTCCATTCAAGCCTATAGAAAACCTAGAGATATGCATGCAAATCTTTAGAATTTACACTAAGTACTCTTCTAATTATCCAACAATAACAAGAATGAGCCCTCTTTATCAAATATGAAGTTTCAACTTTCAAACATGAAAGACAGCTATGTAACCAAATAAACAAAACAACTTAACCTGTATTATTAATAACAACCTGCCGCAATGTTGAATATGCGGACGAGTGTTCTTTTTAACGGTTAAGAACTAACCGGCGGTGCGGGTTAAGTGCCGACTTATCCTTGCTTAGGTTTCAGGATAGAATACCCCAGAATCGGACTCTGGTGTCTTTTTGTGCGGAAAAAGACTAAACCGGCGACGCGTGTTAGGCGTCGGCATATCCTTTCTTAGGATTCAGGATGAACTTCCTAGTACCTGTGAGGCACAAATTTTGGGAGTTGAAAAAAGGTGATGTCTTCTCTTGGGGCAAAGACGAACCCAAAATGGGAGAGGAAGAATTTTATATTCTATTTGGAAGAAGAGATGACACATCCCCCTCTGAAATATGGCATTTTGCACGGTATAATTCTTCATCTAGCTAGACAACCAAAATAAAATCATTAGTCTTTAGATGACTTTACAGGTAAACATTTTGATAGGTTGAAGAAGTCCATAATTTGCCATGTTAATAGAACTGGAATTTTAACTACAATATTTTTCGCAACCACATAACATGTATATGGGCTAGATTATAACAATCATATACCTTCTAAAGGAAGTAAACACAGAAACTTGGCTCTTCAAATGAAAAAGCTCAATAGCCTAACAAAATTGATTTAACAAATAGAAGCATAATGAGGGAAAAAATTCACAATACTCTTGCCACTGATAAAACCTCTAGATGTTTTGTATAAGGAAATCCAATGATTACAGACCAAGACAAATTAGACAAGATTTTTTTAAATATTAAACCATTTAAGGAAATTCCAAATCAGTAAACTAATAGTTACAAAATAAGGGTTAAAAAAATTTTATAAACTTCGGTCTCTCATGCAGAGGTATATTAATATCCGCCAACACTACAAATATAAAAAAGCTATAATCTCAAGTTTTCATGGTAAGTTACATAAATCTTCCTTTAACCATTCACATATAAGAATGCATATATTAAAATAATAATTTGGAATGTAAAATATAGTTAAAATACAGTTAATAAGATATTTTTTAACATAAATCTCATTATTGTAAATTTTCTATCAATATGATTTATGTATTCTTATAAATCATATTGATAAGATTTATAAGAGTCATAAATCAAGCTATCACGAATAGTAAGGGACTCAAATTTCCATATTCTAAGCGCAACAAAGCTTCACTCCCTCCTTAGGCTAACCTGCTTCCTCCAACCTTACATCTGTTATACATCGTTTTCCACTGAAAATTACAGCCGCTCCAAATTGAGAACAATCAAAATATCCAAATTTTCCCTTGGAAACCAAACAAATACTACGCATCCATAAACATAATACTGGCTCCTCATCCATGACTTACTCTAGGAGCATTTCTCGCGACCAAACAGCTACTAAATAATAATTTTCCCACGAAAATTCATGTTGTTCTAAATCCAGGACATCAAATAAATTGCAACATGACATCAATGGAACATTAATGCATGCATGTCTCTCCCTCAGAGCATCAAAATGAATACAAATGTATAGACTTTTTAGGCAGTTGCCTATCTAATTCAGTACATATTCAACAAAGCCCAATCAAAAGTAGGTTGGTTTACATGCATGCATGTCAAAAATCGAAACAAGATGACTCAAATTTCCTCAAAAAAAAAGTTCCAGCAAACAAATTGAAAAAGATTCGAAATCGAGATCTAGTTTTGAAATCGGAATCTCACCTTCTCAGCATTCCTCCGATCGATTTCGCCCCTGCGGATAGCGGAATTGGCAGCGGTCTTCAGCTTCCTGAGATCGGACTCTAGGGAAAGCGCCCGCTGCCAAAGTCCCTGCTCCTAGTTCAACGTTCTCGAGATCAGCGACGACGCCGACTCCTGAAGCTCCCACGCGAGCTCCCCTAGCCTCGTCGCCTCCTCCATCAGCCCTCGATCCGCAGCCTCGTCCGTCGCCGGCGACCTCTCTCCCATCGGGATCGATCTCTAGGGTTTCTTTATCCTTTTTTTTCACTTTTCTTTTTTATAATACGAGAAATTGAGAAATTGTTACCCGTCCTTCAAGATGAAAGAAGGAGTGATGAAAAAACATTTAAAAATCAAAAGTAAAATTTAGAAAAGGATCAAATCATACATTCGTCAAAGAGTCTCCTTCGTGATTGTAAGCGATGCCCAAAATCTGAGAAGTGAGGAGATGATGGCAGAGGAGGTGCGGTGATGATGAGGGCAATAATACTCAACGTTGGTAATTAATGATTTAAGAAAGTGGGAGGTCGTTGCCGGAGCTGAAGCGTAAGAGGGTGTTGCCGGATCTGAAGCGTAACAGATGGTGGCTTCTACGAAGTCGTAACCGACGGAGGAACGAATGCGGGCTACCAATTTCTTAACTCTATTTAATGATAAAAAGGGGTAATTTTGTTATTAATCATAATAGTTGAAGGGTATTTTTGGGAAGAAAAAGTTTTTCCCAAACTCCCTCTTTTAAAGGGTAGATAGATAGATAGATTACGAGAATCGTGAGACCCGATAATAAAGTCAATGAGTTGAGGGGTTTATTTGAAAATAAGTAATTTATTTATATTACAGCTCCTAAAAATATTTTTATCCGCAAATTTAAAAAGATTTTTCTAAAAAAATTGCTTAACAATTATTTTTTGATTTCTTCACACAAATACCGCAGCAATGCACAGATCAATTTTACTCGTTGTATATTAGACCCATCTCTTCTCTTTCTTAGTCTCCCCATTTGGGGGGAGAATGTAATAAGTATAACTATATTAGTGTAGTTTAATTAAGACAGCTATCACAAGTTTTTTTGTGTGGTTTGAATCTATCTAGCGTTTTTTTTTAAAGTACCTAATAAGGGATCTGGGGTTTAAATTGTAAACATGAACATTTGAGGTCTCGTATGCAATCGACAAAGACTTAGGGGTCTATTCACAAAACACCCTAAAAAAAAATAGCCGCCAACGTAGTGGGAGGAAAACCACCGCGATTCCGACAACCGCCCATTTTCTCCTTTTCTCTTCCTCCTCTCTCCAAAACCCCAAATAAACCCTACAAAGTCGAAAGAATTAATCGGATCGAATCGAATCGTGATCGAAGAAGATGAGCACGGTGGACAAGATGCTGATAAAGGGTATTCGAAGCTTCGACCCTGAGAACAAGAACGTCATCACCTTCTACCGCCCCCTAACCCTAATCGTCGGCCCTAATGGCGCTGGCAAAACCGTAATTTTATCTCTCCCTCTCACTTTGCTCGCACTTTCCTCTATTCTTCGAAACCCTAGCGGTACCAATTTCATTGTCGTCGTTGTCGTTGTTGTTGTTTCAGACCATCATTGAATGCTTGAAGCAGGCCTGCACCGGCGAGCTCCCTCCCAACTCTCGCTCCGGCCACTCCTTCATCCACGACCCCAAGGTATAAATTCCTCACCTTTTAGGTTTTTATAGCAACCATTTCGATTAACAAGAAGAGAATGGTGATGGGTCCCGTCGAATTCCTTTGTTAAGGTCGCCGGCGAGACCGAAACCAAAGGGCAGATCAAGCTCCGGTTCAAGACTGCCGCGGGTAAAGATGTTGTGTGCATTCGGTCCTTCCAGCTCACGCAGAAGGCGTCGAAGATGGAGTTCAAAGCCCTCGAGAGTGTTCTCCAGACAATCAACCCTCATACTGGAGAGGTGACACTAGCACCTACGCATACTTGTTAACCCATTTGTGGAAATTGTTGTTTTTGTGCCGCATTATGTGATGGTAAAATGTTTTGTGAGCTGCAGAAGGTTTGCCTTAGCTATAGGTGTGCGGATATGGACAGGGAGATCCCCCAGTTGATGGGGGTATCTAAGGCCATATTGGAGAACGTTATCTTCGTGCACCAGGACGAATCGAATTGGCCTGTGCAGGATCCTTCCACTTTGAAAAAGAAGTTTGATGATATCTTTTCTGCTACTCGGTACCTTTGAATGCTTTATTGTTTGTCTCTGTTCTTGTTATTTGAATAAATTGTAGATGTAAGGATTTGATCCTATGTTTGTTGATGGATGCTGGTTTCCTATGTTTATGCTATTTCATTGAGTCAATATGTTTGAATTTAGAAAAAAAGGTGGAAAACCGATAGTGAATATGATAACCACATTGCAGAGACACATTTTTAGGTTACTGCAAATTTGTGCTTGAATTTAATTAACAGTCACTGTCAAATTCATTTTAAAATTGAGATTTCAAATATAACTACAGATTTTAAACTGTAGTTTTTTTCATTTGATATGACAAATGTTAAAGCAGCTGAACATGGAGGTTTTTGGATAGAAATGAAGTCAGATCCTGAGATGATTATAAGAATAATAATACTGAGGAGGGCTTAATGCAATTCAACTCTTAGTCTTTTTTGAATCTGTTGGTTAATGGTGTATTAAGAATGTGGTTTATATCACATCCATAAAATAAAATTATAAAATAAAAATTTTGTTTGAGGAATCAAATGGTACAATGGTACATTTTCATCATATAAGATTAAATAAGATTGAGTTTCTGATCCTTATTACATTAAGAATGCATGCTAAGCTTTTGTTTCACGCATCCAGCTCTCAATACGTCGGTGATCCAGTGTTGAATTTAAGGAATCATAAAGACAAAGTAATGCCTTTGATATCCTTCACAATTATTGTTTGGGAAATTAGTCCTGTTTATTTGTGTTTTGACTTGGATTTATTTCTACAAGTACATATTGACTTGTATGATTTTGTGAGTCTTTTAGCGATTCTGTTCAATGTTGAATTTTCTTCTTTGCTCTCGATTTTCTGATATTTTTTTTATAAAAGAAATTCCATGCATTTGAATTTCAAGCCAGCTATTTTGTTATTGTGTTTCATGAATGCTGATCTCATACAATATGATCCCACTTTATCTTTGTGTGTTGTATAGTTATACAAAAGCTCTAGAGGTTATAAAAAAGCTTCACAAGGATCAGGCACACGAGATAAAGACTTACAAGTTGAAATTAGAGAATCTTCAAACTCTGAAGGATGCAGCTCATAAGGTTGTATTCCTTTCTGACATGTTATTTCTTTTATATCTTTTTATTCTCTCATATCTATGATCTTAGTTTTCTTGTTCTATGTTCATTTATTATTTGAATATATGCTAAAATAGAACTAAATTTGTTTATCCAGCTCCGGGATAGTATATCCCAGGAGCAGGAGAAAAGTGAATCCCTAAAAGCACAAATTAAGGAACTGGAGAGGAACATTCAAGGTGTAGAGGACAAAATCTTGCATACAGAAACTACTTTGAAGGAATTGCGGAAACTCGGAGACCAGATTTCAACGAGTACTACTGCGAGGAGCACTTTATTTAAGCTGCAACAGACACAGTATGCTGCCCTTGCTGAGGAAAATGAAGGTCGGCTAAGAAACCTGACCTTTACATATTGAACATATACAAACATGTGATTGTTGTACAAACGTGCAGAATATTTATTTCCCTTGTTTATATTTTATGCCTTGTTGTTTATTCTCATTCTGTCCATTTGAGGTTTCCAACAGTTTTATGAGTTGTTCTTTCGATTACTCTGATATTGTTTGATAACGGGGGAATGATTCTCATTCTTCTGCATCTCCATAGGCTGCAATACTACTAGCTGTTGCTTTACATGCATTTATCTTTTCAGTAGTATGCAGGTTAACTTTTTTGCTGGCTTCTTCAATGGCTTTTCTCTTCTTTCATCTTTTTTAGATACTGATGAGGAGTTAAAAGAATGGCAAAGCAAATTTGAAGAAAGGATCGCATTACTACAGTCTAAAATTAGTAAGCTGGAAAGAGAGATGAATGATGAAGAAACCAGAAGTTCCACATTTTCACAGACAATTAATGAGTCCATGCGAGAGATCGGGAAACTTCAAGCTGAAGCTGATGTAATGTGCCGCTTCTATGTTTCATTGGTTTCACATTTACCTTTTATGATATGCAGTTGACATTGTATGTATCTCAGGCTCACATATCTTTGAGGCATGAACGTGATTCAAGGATACAAAAGATTATTGGTAAGCATAATCTTGGGTTCCTTCCTGATGCCCCTTTCAGCGATGATGTGGCTGCCAGCCTCACAAATAGAATTAAAACAAGGTTGTTAGATCTTGAGAAGGGCTTGCAGGACAAAAAGGTACATTTAGTCTTAAATATAATTTTCGTCTAAATATTTTTGGCAGTGTATACAACTGTACTGCCAATGCAATCTAGTCATTGATAGCTCATGATACTTATTAACTTCCTTTTGAAGTGCCTGTCGCAGTGCTTCTTTTGCTTTCTATCTCGTAAAATCAGTGTTACCCATACACAAGACATGAGTGCTATGTTGTCATGCCCTGGGCCAGCGGGCCCGTTGGCGCGTGCAAGTCGTAGGAGCCACCTTTAGAGTCCACATCGCGTGGCGGTGATACTGGGATGTGCTAATTGTCATGCCGCGATGAGTACGTCGCCTTTGTAAGGTAGGGTAAATGTGACATCCCACTAACAGCGACAACAATAGTGACATTTGCAAAAAATTTAGTCCCACATCGGTGGGAGAATGAGAAATTAAAGGGTTTATATAGTGAAAGCTAAAGACTCAAGTGTAACATCGGCTAGTCGATTTTGGCAGTGGTTTGAGCTAAACAGTGCGTTACACTCGGTCCCGCGGGCCCGGGGCGTGACACATGTGGTCAAGACCACATCTTTTATAATAGGCTACAACAACTTATATATTTATTGAGTTGTATATCTGCACACATTGATTATCACATCCTTAAAGGAGCAACTTGTTCTCTTTAGCACTACTTGTTCACCTCTTTCATGACATTGGAATAGCAGTATTCCAGTTTGGATGATTAGAAAAGTAACGAAACTTGTTACTATCTCTTTCTATCTTTCTCTTTTAGGTAATTGCTAGATAATATTTCCAAGTCTGTTTTAAAACAGTCGTGTCCTATTTTCTCCCTTTTTATCACATGATATTTGAATCATAGGAAACATTTATCAAGTTCTCTGATCTAAGAGTCCAGCACTTATAATTTTTGTAAAGAAATGGGATTATCCTGGGAACACTGCTTAAAGTTATAGTTAGGGCTATTTCCTTTTCAGTCTTCCTTAATGCATTCTATCCTGACCAGCAACTATCAACTATTTGTTCTATTGTTGTAATAATCATCCCCTGGGTAAGTTCTGAATCTGATGGAAACAATACATTCAGCTTCTGCTGAAACTCCTCTGACTTCTCTAGTTGATATATGGAGAGAAAGAAGAAATTTTTACCTATTTATGAATTCTTCTTTTGAGTCTTGATGATCAAACTGGCAACTTACTGAACATTAGGTTGAACGTAACATTGTGCTTAGTGTTTCATCAACTGCTACTGATGATCTGTATGGAGTTGCCTGTAGATTCAGCCTCTATGTCTAAAGTATTAATATGGACTCTGTAGTAGTAATCCAAGGATCTTTCATTGCCAGTTCTATTGCATTTTGTATGAAACAAAAACTTAATGACAGGCTGAGTGGTCATGTATTTGATGCTACTTTGATAAATTCAGGAGAACCTAGTTTTGTAGGGTAGGTAGACTGGAGTTTTTTGCTTTGGCTGATGCTGACTTGGATGCACATTCTCTTGCATGCTATTACAGTCAAGCACTTTGCTTTCCCATGTTGGCTCAAGTTCAAGATCCAGCTAGATTGCTTTCTCCTGTTGGGAAAAAAAAGCTCTACTAGGTTTGAATATTTTGTATGGATCCTATAAAAACATATTATCATGGAAAATTATTGCAGATTTTATATTTTTAAGAGAACAATGGAGATTTTATGTTCTTCAATATCTCTTTACCTTTTGATATAGCAGATAAATTCTGGTGCATAAAACTTGCTTTTTTAAGCAACTACTCTTAACAATTGTGCAATTACAGAAATCAAATGAATCGGAACTAAAATTTTTATGGGAGCGATATGTCAAGGCAAATGCTCAATGCAGTGAAATTGATGGGCAAAAGCAGGCAAAGTTTCAGACAAAGGTCTGTAATGAAATATCTGCATGACATCTGATTTTCTTATTTCCATCAATCACTATACTAAGGTAATTTTTTCTTTGTTCCCAGGCAGGTATTATAAAGCGCATGAAGGAGAGAGAGAATGAGCGTGATATTGCAGAACATGAACTGTCCAGCCTTAACCTTTCTAATATAGATGAGAAGGAAAAAAAATTGGTAATTACTTAACTTGTAAAAGAGCTCACCGTTTCTGAACTCAATCTTAACAAGGGCTTACTTCTTTCCCTGAAGCAAATTGAGATGGAGCGCAAGGCACATGCACTGGGGAGCAGGGACTACGAGTCTACCATAAACCAAAAAAAGACTGAAATGTTTAGCCTGGAACAAAATATTAAGGCTCTTTACCGTGAAAAAGATATTATGGCCAGTGATTCTGAAGATAGAGTTAAGCTAGATTTGAAGAAGGAGGAGCTAGCAAACTGTAAACGCAAACTGAAGAAAATGCAAGTTTTGCCCAGTTTAGTTTCAGTTTGATATTTTTTTGGTATTATAAATCTCATATCCTCGTATGAATTTTTTTGGTACATTTTATATATTATTTACTTTCAGATTGGATGAATGCAATGACAAAATTAGA